TCGATGTTACGATATTTAACTATTTGTATTAAAATTTGAAGTATGATTGCTGGAGTTGTTATTAATTAACAAGAAGGTAACTAAATGACACAGCGCCTCACATCTGTGTAAAACTAATTTGCAACTTTTTTTTTTTTTCATTTCTTTCAATAGCCCCGGTGAAATTTGTAATTTTGCGATATTGTTACATTTCAAGGTTTTCCAACACAGATGCGCAATGTGCATCCTTACGAAACAGGCACACGTGACTGCTGATGACTGGTAATGACACGATATACATATATCGTGCTTCAATAAACTCCTTACGAAACGTTATTATGCCGAGTGCTTATGCATCTTCGTTATATATTTATATTTATAACGCATAATGTTTCTGATGAAGTGGTTCAAATTTCGAACGTTTGTGGCGCCACTGTCAGATATGAAAACGTCTGTTTAAGATATTTCAGTTGAAAAGAAGACACCTGAATAATTCAGGCGTTTCAGAATTTTTAATTAACAACTTTCGAAGCAGATAATCTCTGTACAATGTATGATACAACGCAGATTTCTCTAAAGCATCATACATATAAACTTGCTTTCATACTAATTTTTATTCGTGTACAGATAGGTACGCTGGGTTCTTTTATCATTTCAAGTGAAGAAGTAAGTCGGTAAAAAAGGAATAAAACCTCTGTTTGTCTTGAGGCCTCATTTTTGAGAAAATCTATCGATTACGAGTTCATGATATTGAACAGTGTTTTTATAAAAATACAGTTAATAGGAAACTGTTTATTTCACAGTTAATAGATCCACTACAGGCTATATTCCTGCATTCACATATTTTCTTCGGTGGTATCTCATGAAGACGTTAACACTACCGAAATTCGCGCGAACTTGATGGAGATTTGAAATGATAATTTTTTTCAGAAACGGAGCTTCGAGCGAAAAAAAAAATTTTCTCTTCGATTTATTTTTTCACCTGGTGCCATCTCTGCCACACCCTGTATATAATCTTTAAACACAGATGGTACTCAAACGGGATAATAGGAGTCACCGTGTATAAAAAAGGAATCGATGACCTTTCATTTCTCTTACAAGCTCTTCTCGTTGAAGAACAAACGAAAGAAGGTGTTAATTTTTGGTACACCTCGTAAAAATCACCGTTCACGTCCGCCATCTTGTTCGTCTATTTTATCGACCGTGTATTAATAATTTTAAATTTATTTATACAATTAATTCATGGATGATTATTAAAAGATGAAGCTTCATTTTTTAGATGGATAATTTTAAGTTTCAGCTATATTAAAATTTATATTTAATAAATTTTATATTAATTTTATAATATTATTTTTAAGGGTTACACGTACATGCCAAATAGATATAAAATTGCAGCTGTTTCTTCTGTCACTCATATAGGTATCATATCGTTAATAATAAAATTAAGTTAATAAAATTCCACTTTGTGGAAGTTATATAATAATTAGTCATGGATTTATGTCTTCTGGATTATTCTATTTAATTAATTTAATTTATATTCAAACTAATAGTCGATCGATTTAGCGATTAACATTCATTTAATTTGGCTGTGTTTCAGTTCGATATGAGTATCGAAGGAAGATCGTGCATCGTGAGAAGATGACGCCGCGACGGTACGTGTTCGCGGCGATTAGGCGAACATTGCTGGCTGCTGGTATCTTGACGTTGCTGGTGTTGGCTCTGTCGAGCCAGGACACCGGCAACAATGTGCAGCAAGGCCTTTTGTTGGAGGTGAGTGACGATCTTTTGTCTCTAGCACTGGCCAAGAATTTCTTTTGTTTTTTTGGCGGAGGCGCGCATCCCCCCCCTTCCCTCGCGGATTTGGACCACCGGAAAATTAGGCGGATTACATTCCAAGGGACGATTATTTTAGACGAACCGTAAATGACTCGGTCTCGTTGGAAACGCGGCCAAAAACCATTCTGGTTTCTCTTCTTTTTTTTTTTCCCATTCGGAAGAAGCACGTTCGTGCATATATCCTGTTCAAAATGAAGTCCTGTTCGAAACGATAACCAAATTGTTGCAAAGTGAAATTTACAATGTAGATCCGAATGTCGCAGAACTTTGTGAACTTCATCTTTTTATAAAAGAGGTGTTCGATAAGTTGTAATATTTTAGACAAATTATCCAAAACGCTTTGGAGTTCAAACAATGTTATATGTGCTTAAATGTAAAATTGTGGAATCTACAGGGTGGGCCAAAAATCACTTCCTACTAGAGTAAATCATTTTTTATTATTTAGATAATGAAAAAATCATGCTTGAATTTGAATTTAATTTAGAATTAATAAAACGTTTAAAAAGTTTTTTCTTTAAAAAAAAAAAAATCACAAACTGTTACTAAAAAATCGAATAATAAAAGTGTTTACATATGTAAAAGAGTGAATATAAAAATGACTTGAATCACTCTAGCTTCTTGTTTAACAGTGTTTCATGAGCTATCCAACTATAGTATGTGTATAGTATGAGCCAGTATTTTTTTTTTTCTACTTGTCTTGCAGGAACAAACGAATCATTAAGCAAGCTGAAGTGTGTTCATTCAATTTTCACGCGCCACTAATTGCAAGATATAACCTCAGGCGTTTTACTTATATAATCCGTTATTCTCTTCACACGACAAAAGGAGAAAGGCCAATGCTCTGTTCGTTTTCTCACGGCCTTACACATCTTTTCTTTTTCCATCCTTCTAATTCACTCAGCACGCCACGCTTTGATCTGCCTGAAATCTGGCGATACGAAGATTCTACAACCATTTGATGATAATTTATCTCGACGATGAAAACTGCATACAGCATTAGGATCATTTATTTGCTTACCACGCATTAACGTTTCATGGACAACGTTGATGAACAAATTGATGATAAAATATCTCCTTAATCATTTAAGAGGTTTAAGATCAATGTGGCTTAATACTTTCTTACTTGGAATTTAACACTCTTTCCATCTGCGATGGGCAAGATAATATAATAAAGATGAAACTTGGAAACTTGGAAACTTGGAAACTCACAAAAAATTTATACGCCATATCACGCCTTCCTTGAAAAAAAACCGTACAACTTTTGTATTAAACAATTTTTCATTGGACGCGTGATTTGAAAAGTTATTTCTCAGGCGTGCAAGTTACGTGAATCACCCTGTATATACCGATATTAGTCCCTGGTATTGGCGAGGCAGTTGACGCTCATCCCCTCTCTTTCCTTCGGTGTCAATTCGCCTATCGGTCCCAAACTGGAGTATTCTAATATTTGTCAACAAGACGTTCGACCTCTGAAAGATTCTCTTGAAAACTGAAACTTCCATTGGCAACTGCGTTACCTTAGTTTGATTTTCAAGAAGTAGATTGACATTGCCTTGCCGCGTGTAACATGCATTGTAACGTCTTCTCACAAACAGATTATCCTCTTTTTTTTTTTTTTTTTGCTGTACCGTGTAAAATGTAGGGTAAGCAAAACGCGACACACTGAGGAGAAAAGGAGAACGTCGCGTCTCTGCTTTACCCCTGGAGGGCTGGGGAGGTCGCATCGAGAAGCGGTCTCCTCCTTATGTAAAGCAAAGCTACCGTAAAGATTGGCAAAGTTCCAGGGGCGCAATGCGGCACACAAATGCAGCTCTGCCTACGATCTCCCCTCCCACGAGCGTGCAACTCGGGGTGGTTTTACTCCCCTCGATCTCGACAATTATTTCACCGATGTAAATCGATCTCCCATAGCCGTTATAGCGAGGATATCAGCCGACAGAGAACAAAAATCGATGGTTTCGTTTGTTACCAGACGAACGTTATTTCTTATCGATGCGAGTCACGTAATTACGTTCGTGATCTTCGATCGTGAGCTTCTTTGTTTGCAGTCTCAGGCATCTGATATTTATTACAATGCAGATATTTTATTTTAACACTAACCGTACCGACATTTCACGTATACCTGAAATAAATATTTTTCTTTTCAAATAAAATAAATAAGTAATAAATAAAATAAAAGTTTAAAAATATACTAAATATACTAAATTCAATTGTACCGATGCAAATGTTACGTGACACCCTATATACTGCAATACACGTATGCTGAAGTGACGATTCAATCTATTTTTACGAAAAATATCTAACTTCCGTGGATTTTTCCGGTATTTGTTTGTTATACGATAAACGAAAGCAAATAGAACTTGAACGATATATCGGGCATTAGATCAGGCAAACAGAGATAGTCTTTGCCGGTTCGATTGATCCTCTCGCGCATAAATGCGGGAAAGACAGTACGCGACTAAAATCCGTGCACGAGAACTGCGTTTTACGTGAGAAAACGTAACCAATGGAAATTATACAACTAAAGAGCCGCGAGAGCATCTTACATAATGTACCACGTACACGTGTACATATGGTAATCCATTAGGATTGATTTCGCTTTAACTGGCTGTACGATTTCACGATGACGTGCAAAAAACAGAAAAACAAAAATGTATTAGACGGTTCATACAGCAAACAGGTTGATCTTTTAAAATCCATCTCGTAGAAAATTAATTTGGTTTTAGGTTAGGTTTAGATTACGTTTAGGTTAGGTCCCCTTAGATCTTGCCTAGACTTTTGTTTCCCTTACTTTCTTGTACGTTCGAGATCGTTATCGAGATTTGAGATTCGTTACTTTATTTTTTTTTTTCCTCACAGTTAATTTGGCTAATCCCCCCTTAGATCTTGCCTAGAGTTTTGCTACTTTTGTGTGAAATGTGCTTCCCTTTTTCCTTCTTTTTTTTTTTTTTTTTAATTTGTATATATGAGTTTTTAACTCTTGACTTTTGGATATTTAACTAGAATCTTTAGATCTTCAATACATTTAATTTAGAATTTCAGATTTTTAGACTGATTCAATACAGAATTTTTAGACATTTATAATTGGAATTTTTCCAATCTTTCAAATTGTAG